TATTTCCTTTAAACTACAACAAAAAACATTGATATTAATGAAAAATTCTTCATTTTAAATGCAAATCATTACCTGATAATTCAATTGAATTATTTTGTTTAATAACAAAAACGGAATTATTTAAGTTTTTATTATTAAAAAAATATTTGTATTATATTTTATTTTTTTTTGCAATAATTAATTTTAAACTATAGAAATTATATTTCTTTTATGATCAAAAACTTCTCATTCATTTATTGTTTTATAATAATTGTTTTGTTTTTTTACATATTTTATAGCAAGTCAATGAAAATATGAATAAAGTACAAATTTAGTTAATTTAATGAAATTGCATTTTTTCTTCTTATAATTAATTAGTAAACTAAATTATGAAAAGTGTAAGGTAATTTATTGAATTTATCTATGAATAAATACAGATTTATCATTGCTTCATATCAATTTTGTAGAAATAAAATGAAATTTTCCAATTAAATTTCTTTAAATTATTTTATCAAAATATTGAAAATGTCGAAAAGTAAATTAATTTATTAATGTAATTTTGAAGAAAAAAGGTAATAATCTTCTTAGCACAAGAATTTTAAAGATTTTGCAAAGGCAAAATTAGTTTGTAGCAGTGATAAATTTTGTTAAAAATTGGGGAATTTTCTGTTTTGAAAAATTAAACTATTTCATGGATCTTTTTTTGTATATATTTTTTTATTGATGCTAATTTACAAAGTATGATGAGAAGTTATCCAGCTATCAAAATACATATTTTGAAACTCTGGATTTGTGACAGTCTTAAAGAGAAGTTCTTTGGATCAAGTTAATAGTGATGGTAGTGGTCATAAGCTTTGGCAGAAGCAGCAGCGTGGGCGGCCAAATGGGCAGCTCTGGCGTGTTGAACTTCAATGGTATCAACTGGTACTCCTTTCACGATCAAAGGTACGTGTTGCTCATAACCATAAGAAGAACCGTATCCTCCATGGTTGTAAACAGCTGGAGCGTGAAGGGTATGAGTGGAATATCCATAAGTTTCAGCAGCTGGAGCATAACTCTTGTAAGATGAGCTTGGTTCTTCGTAATAGTAATCATGTCCACTTTGGGCTTCAGCCTCAGCTTTGTGCAAGAAATGAGCAGCTCTAGCGTGTTGCACCTCAGCAGTATCAATTGGTACTCCACCCTTACCAATCACAGCAAGATGTTGAGGTCCATGGTAAACGGGAGTAGAATATCCAGCTGAGGCAACAGCCAAAGCGCAAGCAAAAACAACCTAAAATAAACCAATTAGTAAAAAGAAAACCTAATCAAATTGACGATAAAACTTACAAAGAATTTCATGTTTAAATTGAGTTGAAAACCTCCTCGGAACAGGACTGTTTGTCGACTGTGCTCGAAACCATCAAATTGTAGCCTTTTATACTTTTAACCACGAAACACACATATTCACATTCTTATGCAAGTTCACTTTACTTTTTTTTTTACTTGTTCTTTCTTTATTTCAATTTACGTTTTTTTTTTCCTCTTTTGCATCAAACATGCAAAATGCTAATTGACAAATATTTATGATTGTGTCTATGGTTCCTTCATGCTCAATGATCGCAGAAACTATTAAGTGTTACTTGCGTAACGCGTACAATTTATTACTGTTTTATTGAAATTTGATATACATTTTCCTACAGCACAATTTTCGTTACGTTTTGTAAATGTGTTTATTTTCTAAGTAATTTTCATTCGGTTTAACAAGAGAAAGGTTTAAATTTGAAAATGTATTTCTTTATTTCAAGTATGTTAACATTCTTAATCTGTAATTATAAAATAAACATTTAAATTTAAGTGAATCATTGTAATTTATACATCAAATTTCATTTTTTATGATATTGAAATCTGCATGTATTCATACATAAATTCAATAAATTATCTTACACTTTAATTTAGTTTACTAATTAATTATAAGAAGAAAAAAATGCATTTTCATTAAATTAACTAAATTTGTACTTTCTTCATATTTTCATGGATTTGCTATCAAATATGTAAAAATAAAAACAATTATTATCATTTAACATTTAAATTTAAGTGAATCATTGTAATTTATATATTAAATTTTCTTTCATTCAAATTAACACATTTCATTAACAAATTCTACTTAAAATTTGTAGAAAGTGAAGAACAAATTAACAATTAATTAATATTAATAAATTAATGTAGATTGAAACAATTTAATTTTATAGAAATCAATGATTTTTGTGTTTTTTTTTTTATTATAATTGCTTAAGTAATTATTCCAATAAATATTGGTAAATGTACCCGAAAAATTCCATATATTTCAATACATTAAGTGTTGAAATATGTGTGAAACTAATTGGTTAAAAACAATGTAAATTTCTTATGTGATTCTTCCGTAAAATTTATTTCGCGCCATTCACTTCGACCAAAAGTATAAAACCAAGAATTTCGGTGGTTTTAGAGCACAGTCGACAAACAGTCCTTTTCCAAGGAGGTTTTAAACTTAATTTAAACATGAAATTCTTTGTAAGTTTTATCATCAATTTGATTACATTTTTTTACTAATTGGTTTATTTTAGGTTGTATTTGCTTGCGCATTGGCAGTGGCATCAGCTGGATATTCTAAACCCATTTACCATGGACCTCAACATCTCGCTGTGATTGGTAAAGGTGGAGTACCAATTGATACTGCTGAAGTGCAACACGCTAGAGCTGCTCATTTCTTGCACAAAGCTGAGGCTGAAGCCCAAAGTGGACACGATTACTATTACGAAGAACCAAGCTCATCTTACAAGAGTTACGCTCCAGCTGCTGAAACTTATGGATATTCCACCAATACCCTCCACGCTCCAGCTGTTTACAACCATGGAGGATACGGTTCTTCTTATGGTTATGAGCAACACGTACCTTTGATCGTGAAAGGAGTACCAGTTGATACCATTGAAGTTCAACACGCCAGAGCTGCCCATTTGGCTGCCCATGCTGCTGCTTCTGCCAAAGCTTATGACCACTACCATCACTATTAACTTGATCCAAAGGATTTCTATTTAAGACTGTCACAAATCCAGAGTTTCAAAATGTGTATTTTGATAGCTGGATAACTTCTCATCATACTTTGTAAATTAGCATCAATAAAAATATATATACAAAAAAAAATCCATGAAATAGTTTAATTTTTCAAAACAGAAAATTCCCCAATTTTTAACAAAATTTATTACTGCTACAAACTGATTTTGACTTTGCAAAATCTTTGAAATTCTTGTGCTAAGAAAATTATTACCTTTTTTCTTCAAAATTACATTAATAAATTAATTTACTTTTCGACATTTTTAATATTTTGATAAAATAATTTAAAGAAATTGGATTAGAAAATTTCATTTTTTATGTGCAAAATTGATATGAAGCAATGCTAAATCTATATGTATTCATACATAAATTTAATAAATTACCTTACACTTTCCACAATTTAGTTTACTAATTAATTATAAGAAGAAAAAAATGCTTTTTCATTAAATTAAGTAAATTTGTACTTTCTTCATATTTTCATTGATTTGCTAACGAATTTGTAAAAATCAAAACAATTATTATAAAACAATAAATGATGAGAAGTTTTTGATCAAAAAATAAATATAATTTCTATAGTTTACAATTAATTATTGAAAAAAAAAATTATGATACAAATATTTTTTTAATAATAAAAACTTTAATAATTTCGTTTTTGTTATTAAACAAAATAATTAAATTGAATTATCAGGTTATTATTTTCATTTAAAATGAAGAATTTTTCATTAATATCATTGTTTTTTGTTGTAGTTTAAAGGAAATAGTAAATCAATTTGTATTTTTTTTGTAATTGTTTTTATTGATGCTTTAATGTAGAGTTAAACATGAGTTTTAATCCAGCTATCAAATTGCTATGGTAATAAACAATTGAAACTCTGGATTGTGACAGCCTTCTAGTGAAATTCTTCGATGGTAATTTAATAGTGATGGTAGTGGTCGTAAGCTTTGGTGGAAGCAGCAGCGTGGGCAGCCAAATGGGCAGCTCTTGCGTGTTGAACTTCGATGGTATGAACTGGTACTCCCTTCACGATCAATGGTACGTGTTGCTCATAACCATAAGAAGAACCGTAGTTGGAAGTGGATGGGCTTTGGTAGTTCTTGTAACTTTGAGCGGCTTGAGCGGCCAAATGGGCAGCTCTTGCTTGTTGTACTTCAATGGTATCAACTGGTACTCCTTTCACGATCATTGGTACGTGTTGTTCATAACTATAAGAAGAACCGTATCCTTGATTATTGTAAGCAGCTTGCTCGTGGACAATCTTGGTGGAATATCCGTAAGTTTGAGCTGCTGGAGCAGAATTGTAACTCTCGTAAGATGAGCTTGGTTCTTCGTAGTAATAATCATGTCCACTTTGAGCCTCAGCTTTGTGCAAGAAATGAGCAGCTCTGGCGTGTTGCACCTCAGCAGTATCAATTGGTACTCCACCCTTACCAATCACAGCAAGATGTTGAGGTCCATAATACTTTGGAGATGAATATCCAGAAGAGGCAACAGCCAAAGCGCAAGCGAATACAATCTAAAATAATCAATAGAAATCAATTTAGTAGTTTATAATTAATAGATGATATAACTTACGAAGAATTTCATGGTTAAAGCAGTGGAAACCTCCTTGGAGTAGGACTGTTTGTTGACTGTGCTTAAAACAACCAAAAAATTCGTCTTTTATACATCAACCACGAAATTTATGCACACATTTTTAAATTAAAAGGAATAGATTTTACGGATGTTTCACAAATTAAATTAAAAACTAATTAGTGTATGTGCAAAGTCGTATTAATTCCATTAATATTTTCGTAATTTTCAAATATTTCTTTTAATATTTGCAAAGAAAGTTAGTAAATATTTTTGTAAATTTGTAAATTTGATTTTATAAATTTTCAATATGAAAAGACAAACTGAAAAATCTTACTTTTCCTTTGATATTATAGAGAAAATATAGAATAAACTTTTTATGAAAAATTTTGGAAATATGATATTTTTTTTCCTTCAAATTGAATGAATTCAAGAATTTAATGAATCTAATAAGAATGCAACAAAAATAAAAAACTTTAACAAAAAAAAAACTCGAATTAAAATTAGCAATTTGAACGCATTCGAAACGAAATGTTTTCTTTTCGTGCAACAAATTTAATTGCGTTTGAGATCAGTGAGCATGAATAAAGTTCAAGGAATTAAAGCGGCAATTGTAATATGTGTCAAAATTAGTAACGAAGGTTGTGAAATGTGCGTATAGTGAATTCCATGAATACTTTTCGTGGTTGTAAGACTATAAAAGGCTAGATTTTGGTGGTTTAGAGCACAGTCGACAAACAGTCCTGATCCGAGGAGGTTTTCAACTCAATTTAAACATGAAATTCTTTGTAAGTTTTATCATCAATTTGATTAGGTTTTCTTTTTACTAATTGGTTTATTTTAGGTTGTTTTTGCTTGCGCTTTGGCTGATATTCTACTCCCATTTACCATGGACCTCAACATCTTGCTGTGATTGGTAAGGGTGGAGTACCAATTGATACTGCTGAGGTGCAATACGCCAGAGCTGCTCATTTCTTGCACAAAGCTGAGGCTGAAGCTCAAAGTGGACATGATTACTATTACGAAGATCCAAGCTCATCTTACAAGAGTTACGCTCCAGCTGCTGAAATTTATGGATATTCCACCCATACTCTTCACGCTCCAGCTGTTTACAACCATGGAGGATATGGTTCTTCTTATGGTTATGAACAACACGTACCTTTGATCGTGAAAGGAGTACCAGTTGATACCATTGAAGTTCAACACGCCAGAGCTGCCCATTTGGCCGCCCACGCTGCTGCTTCTGCCAAAGCTTATGACCATTACCATCATTATTAACACCATGCGAAGAATTTCATCTAAAGTCTGTCACTTTCCAGAGTTTCAATGTTTCTTACATTTGATAGCTGGTTTTCATTAAATTTTGTAATATACGATAAATTAACTAATAAAAAAACATGTTACGAATTACGTTTTTTTTTAATTACATAATCCATTAATGCTCAAACATGTTAAAAATTTATTAAAAACAATTTACAAATTTAGATAAAAAATATAAATAATTTTAGGAAAAAAAGTCATGAAATTTGCTTTTTTTTAGCAAAATTATCCAACTAATTGAATTCTAATATTATATAAATATTGTATATACTCACACTTACCAAAAAATAGACAATTTTCATATGTTATTAATAAAAAACATGCATTTTTTTGATGAAATTTTTAAATAAATTTTTTGAAAAAAATATTTTAAAATTTG